TTACAGCATGTCTTAGATAAAGTATGTGCTTAGTAATATGTGCTAAATACATCAATGCTAGGTTCATTTCAGGGAGTTGAAAGCCTTGTTCTCCTCATATGGAAAACCCTGAGATAGCCATCCTTGTAACTACAGAGTAGATGTCCAATATCTATTTGAAGTAAACAAATAAATTTATTGCATCTGCAGTGGAAAGTTAAATATGAATTATTTTTAAAAATTATGACATCCAAGAACTGTGACAAATCGAGGCAAATCCCATTGAAAGCAGTCATAAAGATGAAGAGTCTGGAGATCATATCACATGAGAAATGAATGAAGAAAATTAAGACATTGGTTTGGGGAAAAAAGAACTTCATCTTTAAAAATAGATGTTATTTCAATAGGCATACCAATTCCAACCTATAAAACTTACTATGTTGCAAATTTCAATGGACTCATCTTTTCAAAATCTATTAAGCACTTACCATGTGCCTTGTACTATGTCAGACAAGAATATATAGGGTATGGCAAAAGTAGGTTCACAGTTGCTTGTACGGAAAATAAGTTATTAATAATAATATAAGAATAAACTCTGTTTTGCATACTCACAACTGTAAACCTAATTTTGCCCCACCCTGTATATTGATGGAATTATAGGGTAATGAGGAAAACAGATAAAGAACATTAAATTATTAACAATTAGCAACTACTATGAAACAGGCAAATAAGTACCTTGAAGAAGAATACAAGGAGAGACACCATAGATTGGGTAGTTAAAAAATAAAAAGCTTCTCTGAAGAGAGGATTTTCAAAATGAAGCCTGAGGGATGAAAAAAGGGCAGGTCGATAAGTTATTCCAACAGCAAGAGAAGGGAAGTTCACTCCTTATGGAGGAAGGCTGTAAGGAAAAAAAATTTGGTTTCTTTGAGATACAGAAAGAAGATTAATATAGCTTAGGCATCATAAGTAAGCAGAAGTGTGGCTCAGGATGAAAGGGAAACAGGAGTCTGATGATGTAGGGCACTGTGGGCCGTGATTAAGGTTTTGGATTTATTTTATGTGGCATGAGAAGTAACTAGGGTTTAAAAAAAATAGAAAGGTTTTCAGCATTTTTTTAAGGACACAGGTTTTTTTTTAATTTTTTTATTTTTTGCCTTGAGCATAATTGATTGGAGATAAATTAACAAAAAATACTCGATACCAGGTAAGAGTTTATTACAATGGGCTAGGCAAAAAACTACACACTTTGGAAAAGAAAGATGGCAGTAAAAAGGAAAATAATTTCTTTAGGTTTGACACATACATGCTTGAGGTGTGTTGTGAGCTGAATTCTCTGCCCCAAGCCCCTCCAAAATCAAGTGTTGAATCCCTAACAGCCAGTATCTCAAAATGTGACTGTCTTTACAGATAAAGGTCTTAAGGAGGTTTTAAAGTTGAAACAACCTCACCAGTCCAATCTGACATCTTTATAAGAAAAAATTAGAACATATAGTAAGACATCGGAGGTATGTAGGCATGGAGAGACAACCAAGCAAAGAGATCCGATTTCTCATTAGTCCTTTTAAAATGTGGCCAGAAATGTAAGTGAAAATTAGTTTATACAATTAATCTGGCAGTTTGAAGCTGAGAATACTTTGTTGAAGATAAATATAAAACAATGCAGTGGAACCATTCTTCCAAGCAAATATAGGTGGTGTTAACAATCGAAATACATTATATGCATATGTATCAAATATTTGCATGTGTTCATGTACACTTGCATATATGTGTATATAATTTGTGTATATGCAAAATATGTGTGCATGTGTTTGTATACATATAGACATATAAAGACACACACACATGGGCTTGTGAAGAAGCCAATGAAGGTTGATAACTGTAATTTTAAATGGTGATTTTGAAATGCATTAAAGCATAAAAACAGACCAAGCTCAATAGGAAGGGAAGGACACAGAGAGACTAGAGTGTGTAAATTGCTGCTCTTTTTTTTTTGCTCTTGGGTCAATGTGTCAGCAGTGCTTTCAGGTGGAACATAGTGCAGACATGAATCAGGGTGGTTCTTCATCGGTTTGCCTTTGGACTGTGCTGTTATCAGTGTCCAGAGACCAGATTCTCCATACATGGTTCTTATTGTGATTCTTGATTATGACCCCTAAGGAAGTCGGACTGGCCTGGGGTTACTGGAGACTGTCCTGCATGGCATATTTATCATCCACAAATCAGCTGCTATAAATATACCTCAGCAGGATCATCATCAGGCCGGCTCAGTAGCCTGCAATTTATGAAGGTTATGGGAAACAGTGTGAAGGGTGAAGCGCTTTATTAAGGGTGGCTTTCTCTCTGACCCAGCCCTGCATTCTACTTGAATATAAATGATGGTTGGAGTGAGTGTTCCTTTCCATTTAGAATTAAGGCTTTTTAAATTGTCCCTTTTGACTGTTATTCTTATGTCATTGTGTCATGGCTTTAAAATTTTCTAAGAAACATCAAAATCACAGTGTTCAAAGATAATGTGAGAAATCACTGGATGCAAAATAGAAGCATATCTAAACCTCACATTGTTTCCTCTCCTTTTTATGTACAACTCATGCAAAATATTCTCCTTTTCTCCATTTTTTTTTACATTGGTCATTAATTTCTTTATTTTTGCTCTTGGCAAAATAACAGAACTACCAAAATGTCTTGCCAATATCATAATTACAATCTCTATGGGAGCTGAATAAATGAAATGTTTCTCTTTTGTATTGCTTAATGATGTTTGTTTTTAAAAGAAAATGTGTTTGCTTAAGACACAACGCTTTGGGTTATTCCTGGACATAAACCTTATTTTCCTTTCACACTCCCTTAAATGAATAAAAAATATTTTGATGAACTAAAAATGACACAAAACCAAAATGCCACTCAGACTGCTCTCTCAGCAGAGAATTTTCCTGAAACATCGCTAGTTAAAGTCTGCTGGATGGGGACTGATCAACTGTTTCCCTTACAGGGTGTTATCCGGAACACTTGCCCTAGAAGAGAAAGCCATGAAGAGGGTCACTGTATTAATATGTATTAAAAATCAGAGAACCAAGTTTGATATTTCAGAGCACTCCAGTGACACCTCCCTCTTTCACTATAATCCTAGTTTAAAACGATGTTCTTGGCTATCCAACTGCCCCAAGAGAGCAACAAGAGGAAGAATAATAAAGAGAAAGGAGAGAAAAGGATGGAAAATAGCTTTATTAAACTTCACCTGTCACTCAAGCCACTCACCCCTAGAAAGACTCCAACACTTTATATGAATTACTCGTTATGGTCTCCTCCCACCACATCACTCGCACCATTTAGTACTTGTTTTGCAAACCACCAACTGCGTTTACAAGTAGAGACATAATCAGTAGGCGAATGACCTTTCTCAGCATGTATCTGAGGCTAGTTTATCAAATACTTATCAGCCAACTCACTGTCCAGGCGGCAAAAAAGAAACAAATGTGGGGAGTGGTGGAAATTTATCTTTCTTTTCTCCGGCTAAATTGGGAATCTGGTAGCTTCCCTACCCCAACCCCACCCGCCTTCCCTTGTTTCTTCCCACCTAGTCCACAAACCTGTTACTAGGGAAACTTGAAAAAGATTCAGATACATTAAGAAAACAAAAGTTTAGACCCCACAACCACAATCCCATTACCATGCAGAAAGCAATGCAAGATGCCCAACCTCAGTCGCCGCACCTCGGTCCTGACAAAGCCTGTATCTAGCCAGAACAAATAAGATGTTAATTGCAGTCTCGCTGAGAAAAACTAGTATTGTTCCACCCGGAGATACGCAGCAGTTCGGGAGCAGAGATGAGCCCCCTCCGCTGTTGACGATCAATTCGTCTGAACCCCTGTGCTGAAATGACAGTTCTTGGCCAGTGACAGGTCCGCGCTGAAAGAAAAAGAAAGACGTTCAAGTCTAGTATTTACTTCCTATCCCTCAGAGTCGCCTCTCGGTCCTCCGCAACCCCCTGGCCTCGCCTCCCAGTGAGTTTCTCTCACAGTTGGTCGCCGCCAACCCCAGCGGTGGGAACTAAGGATGTAAAAACCTCCCAGACGCAGAAAATACCGCTTTCGGGACGTGCTTGGTTTTGAGTAGCCGTGACGTGCAAGCACACCACGGCCCTGGCTGGAGCTCCGCGGAGCCTCCCTCTCGCCGGCCCCCCTCCTCTCCCACCCCACCACCCCGCTCGCTTTCTCTCTTACACATCCGCCCGCGCACTCGGGAAGCACAACTCCGGGAAGACGCAGCTGTAGCGCTGCGCGCTTCGAGCCTCGGGCTCGCTGCGGGACTCACAGCCCTGGAGCCGGCGCGGGGAGCGCGCGCTACGAGCACGCGGAAGGCCGTCGCGCGCGCGTGCCCCGGGGACGCGCACCCCCTCCTTGGCGCGTGCCCCGGGGAGAGCCAGCGCCGCGCGCCGGCGCGCACTACTGAGACAGAGCTTTACTATCTTGCTCTCTCTCGCGCCTTCGTCTTCGCTGGGCATTCAAACATCTTTCCGACATCACCAGCCAAGGATTTTTCCCCCCTCTTCTTAGTCGCTGTCCGTCCACCAGTACCTGCGGGGCGGGGGAGGGAGGAGGAGGAGGAGGGAGGAAAGCGGAAAGAGGAAAAAGCAAAAGCTTGAGCCTTCCGATCCGACCACGAATACTCCTGTAATAAGCCCACCGCCCCAACAAATCTGCCTTAGCAGCCGCTGCCGCCGCCGGTCACTTCTCATCTCAGCGCTTTCTTTGCTTCTTGGCTTTTCGGTTTGTTGAGGATGTAGATTTGGTAAAACAAATTCTCGCTCTTAAGCCACTTGTTTTTTGTTCTTTTTTTTTAATTGTTTGTTTCCTTAGAGTCTCCCCCCCAGCCCCCGGCCCTCTATTGGATACAGCGTCAGGCTCTGGGGTCCTGGCAGCTTTTTTCTCCCACCTGTCCCCTTATTGACACCCTCCCCCCCGCCTTTTGCTTCTCATTTGGGTGCATTAAAAAAAATAAAATAAATCCTGATCTTTGAAGCCAAGCCGGGGAAAATGGGCAACGGTGATTGGGACCGAAGGGGAGTCTCTCCGTCACTGTTGCTGGGACGCGTGCCTGTGCTGGTGTCTTAGAGCAAGAGCCTCCCTGAGCTTTCGGAGTGGAAGGTAAGGAAGGGGGGTCCCGGGGTCACCTTCCCTCTGCCAGGGGTCGCCACCGAGGAGCTTTAGGCTAGGTGTTTGCAGAGGGAGTACAAGGAAAGGAAAGGCTGTTGCTGGCAGATGGAGGGGCTGTGAGCACACCCGACTGTCTGCATTTACTTAAACGCTGCAGTTGAAAAGTTAGAGAAGTCTGATTTTCACGAGATGAGCTAGGTTGGAAGGAATAGGCAGGGAGACCAAGAAAATCTGACGGTTGTGTGTGATTGGGGTAATTTTATGAGGAGAAATTTTAGGTTAAAAAGAAGTTAAAGGGAAGCAGTGGGTCTTCTACTGGGGAAAAATTCAGTGGAGTGATGGCGCCGTCTATGTTCGACTAAACTAAAGTGTCACCCAGAAAATCAGTTTTGAGAATAGCTAAACTAAACGACGGTTTGCTTCGCAGCAGGAGATAAATAAATAAATACATACATAAATAAATAAATTAAATATCCTTAAGACCTCGATGGCTAGCCCTTAGACACCCTCCACCCCGTTCTTTCTTTTTAAAAGAGGGAAATAAAATTGGTCGAACTGGCCCTGCAGTCGGGCGTTGGGGGGTGGCGGCAGAGTACAATGATTTATTTTTTATTATTTATAATAAAACAAGACTTCACAACCAAGAATTAATGATTAAAATAAAGAGCGTTGTCATGAAGGGACTCTCTTGAGCAGGCTTGAAAGTGAAATCAAAGCTATTCCCTCACTCTTTCTAATCCTTGATGAGCACAGCAATGCAGACATGTACTGTCAAATCAATGGAAGCAAAAGTACCGATTTCATTAGGACATAAAAATAAGACCTCTTTTTGAGTTACCGAGTATTAAATGAAGCCCCCTTTCTTGGATGGAATGCCTAATTTAGACACTTATTGTCAGATCGGCTCTCAACGCCTACACTCTATCCTGAAGAACACTGCGCAGACCTGCATTGCCTGCAAAGTGCTACAGCAAAAAGAGAGGAAATTATTTCCAGAATTTCCTACAACTTTCCCTATTTTTTAACCTTTAAATGCTCATTAGCTTTATTTTCTCAAGAAGAAAATGCATTATTCATTGAGCTGTATGCTTGAAACAGAGAACCCTGTTTTAATAGTCCCAGCAGTTCTGATGTTATTTTAACTGCTATATAGAGATTTAGAGTTGGGTCTTTTTGCCTGTGTTAAGACATATAATTTGAATTACAATCTGGGAAATGCAGATTTATTCTCAGGGACTTTGGTCACTGGTTTTGGGTGCATGCGTTGGTGTGTGTGTGTGTGTGTGTTATGCAATGAGAAGGAAGAGGGTTTTATCCTTCGTTTCAGAGAGGACCCAGGCAAAGACATGAAAACTCTTAACTATCTATATATCTGTATGTCTGTCTCTGTTTACAGAATAGTGGAAGAGACTGCAGCCTAAAGACTTTTAAAATTAACTTGGTATCACTTTTCTCAGCTCAAAGACTAAACAAAAAAAGCAGTGTCATTTATTCTAAGAAATAACTTCTTAAAGGTTAAAGCTGAAAAAATTCAAGTTATTTTTGGATAACAACTTGCAGAGGTAAATATAACCAAGGATTACTTTATTATGCAAGACCAAGTTTAGAAAAATTAAAAAAAAAAAGAAGAGGAGGGTTGGAGCTGTTATTGTAAAGAGAACAATTGTATAATTGAAATCTGCTAGGAAAGAATATTCTATGTCTTTTATCTACCATGTGTAAATCTTAAATTACAGTAGATAACTCTAGATAAAATAGTCCTAATTTAACAAACAAATTAAGACTGAAGCCACCTTAATTATTGTGGTTCTGAGATTTTTTTCCACTGACATCACCTTTCGATACAGATACTAATACAGTGATCCACTTTATGTATCCCAAGAGGGCATGTCACATTGAAATGACTGCCTTAAATTCTGGTTCTCAGAGATGATGTCAAACAACAAGTCTTCTCTGTGTATGTACCCACCTCTGCCCTTTCTCAGGTGATGTTTTTAAAATTTTGTTAATTCTCATGAACCCTGGTGTTTTTGCACGGGAGTTTATTCTTATCAATTCCCCCCATGGCCCCTGCAAAGAAATGTAGGGGCATTTAGGAAAATATGTTTCATCTGCAACAAATTATCATTTGTGCTTTTAAAATTGTGATTATCACTTATCATAATTACTTTCACAATTAAGAGAAAAGAAATGTGATGACAGCTGTTCCCAGATTATCAGATTAGATTTTGTATGCTGATGTTTACTGCAGGCAGAAGGCTGAAGGAGAGAAAAGGTTGTATAGGTTACTTAAAAATATTTCTCAAATTAACATTTAGGTTAAGATACATAAAAACTCACGTTTTTATCTTCTTTCAATAGATTTATAATGTATTTGGAGTAAATCCTGGTAGATAAATTAGGGCATTCCTATTAATCTATTCAATATTTTTAAATTAAATGTACAGATTTTGGCCATTGTGAATGACCACTTGAGGGCGCTGTTCACACAGTAACATAATTTCCTGGCGTTATAAAATAAAAATTACCTGCCCTTCTTTTTAAAAAGGATTTTTTTTAAACTGAAATCTTGAAAACAGCTGGCTGTAATATTGGAGGAGTTTCTTTTTTTCAATGCACGTAGACTCCTACTTGCATTTTACTTTCATTGCCATTTTTACAGGCCAAATGACATAGGATGAAGGCTGTTCGTAACCTGCTGATTTATATATTTTCCACCTATCTCCTGGTTATGTTTGGATTTAATGCTGCCCAAGACTTCTGGTGTTCAACTTTGGTGAAGGGAGTCATTTACGGATCGTATTCTGTAAGTGAAATGTTTCCCAAAAACTTTACAAACTGCACTTGGACGCTGGAAAATCCAGATCCAACCAAATATAGCATTTACCTGAAATTTTCCAAAAAGGACTTTAGCTGCTCTAACTTTTCCCTCCTGGCTTATCAGTTTGATCATTTTTCTCATGAGAAAATAAAGGATCTTTTAAGAAAGAATCATTCTATAATGCAACTCTGCGATTCCAAGAATGCTTTTGTTTTTCTACAATATGATAAAAATTTTATTCAAATTCGTCGGGTATTTCCAACCGACTTTCCAGGATTACAGAAAAAAGGGGAAGAAGACCAGAAATCCTTTTTTGAGTTTTTGGTATTGAACAAGGTGAGCCCAAGCCAGTTTGGTTGCCATGTGTTATGTACTTGGTTGGAGAGCTGCTTAAAATCAGAAAATGGGAGAACAGAAGCATGTGGGATCATGTATACAAAATGCACCTGCCCTCAGCATTTGGGAGAGTGGGGGATTGACGACCAGTCGCTGGTTTTGTTAAATAACGTGGTGTTACCCCTGAATGAGCAGACCGAGGGCTGCCTGACCCAGGAGCTGCAAACCACCCAGGTCTGCAATCTTACCAGGGAGGCCAAGCGACCGCCCAAAGAAGGTAAGTGTCCAGCAGAGAGGGGGAGATGGGGGGAGGGGCATCTGAGGATGGAGTTCAAACGTGCTGTTTCAACACGTGGGCCTAAGTGTTGCACCTTTAACTCTGCCTTTTTTGGGTTAATTTGCTCTGTGATCTTTACTGATAAAGGTCTCTTAGGCTAGTTTCAGAGTTCAGAATTTAAGAGATGGAGCGGTGAGGACGGGATAGTTCTTAGCCACATGCCCCGGAAGTGCGGGCAGAATATTCAGGAGAAAAGATGAAATACGCGGAGCCAGTCTGCGCTGGAGATTGGTGAGAAGGATTAGGCTGCAGCGCTGGGGAAACCTAAACACACACACACACACACCCCCACCTTCACCCACACCATCCCCCCACCTGTGAAATAGATTTGTAGCCATTTCCTTGAGGCTTCAGTCCCTTTCACTTCCTCCCTCCTTTCCTTTATCTCACCATCTCACCCCCCTCCCTTTCCAGGTTTGGGGCAGCAGGACTAAAAGGTGACACAAAGTCAGTAGCAAGCCTGTTTGGACCAAATGACTTCCTGGTACCTGTTAAAAGGGTGCCCCCCCGCCCCCACAGGTCCGTGATGTTCAGATGCTTCGCACAGTCAATCCCTCGTGCTCGCTCTTTCGTGGGTCAAAAGAACCCCGCTGGAAGCACCAACTCTGAGGTCTCCAGTTTGTGAAACCACTTGCGGGCAGGGGTAGGACGAAATTAAAACACAAGCTGATCCTGTAAGATCAGACCTGATAACCCTCTGGCATGGTGTTTCGCTCTTCGTGGTCCCCTGTTGATACACACGAGGAGAGGGAGCTGTCTGAGATGAGCTAGATGGAAAAAACAGTGCAACGGAAATGCGGAGGAAGAAGAAAGTGCAGGAGTGATTTATAGCTTTCACCCAGTCCCCAGTGGGGGAGCTACAGAGGATTTAAGATTGTGTATTATGTTTAATAATGCAAGAAAGCTGACATATTTTGAGGAAATTAGTTTCCTGTTTGGATGGTTAATGGCTGTGTGCCATTCGTTTGGGGTCACGGCTGATAAAGATTTGTTCTTGCTCCCCAACCCTGCAAAAAGAGTGTGTGTTGATTTTTTATGCAGGAAATGTTTTCTGATCTCCACAAAGATCTCTGTCTGTGGAAAGGGACAGCCCAGCTCCAGTCCCTCTTTCCTTACCCTCCCCCAACAGAAGTTGTCTTTGTGGCCAATATAAAATTGACACGTTGTTGGAGAATTTTATTTAAGGGTAGCCAAGGCTTTGTAAGGAGGGAGGGAAAGAGAGAAGGGCTTAACTAGCTAAATGCGTTTTCTCTGCTGAAAGCATTTTGGGGGATGGGAATTATGGGAGAGCGGTGGTACAAGGGGAAAAGATGTAATAGAAAATAAATGCAGACGAATGGCAATGAGAGAGGGGTGAAAAACCTTTAAGATTTTTGCAGGTCAGTGTTTCACTAACATCTGTGACTGAAGAAAACAAAGTGGTTTTAAATTACAGGAGTTCTTTTCTCTAGGAAAAATCCCAGAGAAGCACTTGCAACTGCAGGGATGGTATTTAACACCATTTAAAACTAATTAGTGTCCCCTAGAATAAGAAGCTACAGTACACACAGAAAATGTGATGTTACAAGCTGGCTAATAAGACAACACCAGAAACTAGTTTTTGTTTGTTTTATAAAATTTAGAAAATCTGTTTCTTCAGTGACTAAAATTCTACCATCAAATTAACTGCTGATGACAGTGGAATTTGAATCTACCCTCACAGCCCTTTTTTCGTGAATGGCAGCAAGTGACAGAAACAAAGTTGTTGTATGCACATTAACCATAATTTTCAGAGATTTTGCTCCTCATGATCATGAAATGTGGGTTAAGAGAGTGCTGGAATTTATAGAAGTTGGACTAGATATCCATTTGTTTTGTAAATGACTATGGATGAGTGATTTTAGATATTAGATGTAAAAATCATGTGGGAGAATGTGTGTATCTTTTGGCTAACTAGCTGGCAAAATTAGAAAGGAGTTGACAAATAAATGATTATATTAAAATCGTTAGCATGTTAATAGAATTGAGCTAGGATTAAGTTCATCCAATAGGGGAAGGATATATGCTGTATCAGTAAAATTGCACAGCTTATATTTCTAAATTTGTGCTTTTTAATTGTTATCCTGTGTCAGAAAGCTAAGGATAAGTAACTTCTGATGACATAATTGTAGTTGCTGCGTTTGTAATTCTTAAGAAACATAACAGCACTCCTTACCTCATTCAAAGAAGACCTTTTTGGCTCTGCTGCATCGTAGAAAAGAAGTGTGAAGATCTTCATATTCTTAATTTAGTCAAGTTTATATAAAGTATATTAATTATATATTAAAGTATATTAAAGTATATATATAAAGTAAATCATAAATATTGGATATAAATGATATATAAACTCTTATGAAAGAATTATTTAATACCACTTCAAATAGACTACTACATAATGATATTTACATGGCTTGAGGTTAATAATTACATATAATTGTGCTACTCATATCTAATATCATTGCAAAATTTCCGTACTTTTTATGGTAACATGTAAACCCAGCTTTTAAAATGAGGTTTAAAAAGTCAATTTATATTTTATATTATTTTATGATTCCTATTTTCTGTGGAAAAATAGTCAAAGTATTCTGTATGATATCAAGGGAATAAGCACAAGGTTATTCTCTGCAATTTATGACTCCCATTTTGTTGACTGGATTAAGTACTGACTCAAAGAATTAAATAGAAATATTTTCCACATTTGTTACATCATAGAAATGGCACAAATTTGAAGGGAGAGCCTTACACTTAGAAGACCCAATTCCAGATTGTTCTGTGTGATGCTGATGGTGATGGCAAGGGTATACCAAATGCTGAATATTTTGAAAGTATCTGTTGGAATTACAAAATTACATTTAGTTTGTATTGGAGGAAATGTAGGCTCCCAGAAATGGGATGTTAATTTTGAAACAGTATTTCTAGTACAATGTTAGTTAGTAATACATTCATGCACTGAAGAATTTCATAGCCAGAAAACAACAAGAAGAAAACTATCAGTGTTTATGGTGACAATACCGACAATTACAAATGTTATCTGGAATATGTTATAAATGTAAATTATTGGACTGATGCTTCATTAAAGTGTTTTGGTACATTTAAATATCTTCTTAAGACCACATTTATATAGTTGAGAGTAAGTTGTATGTGATTATAGAAATTTAGTTGTCATTCCCCAGTTTTTTTGTGTGAAATTTTGAAAATCAAGTACATCAGCAAAATGAAGCTTTTTAAAAATAATACTTATTCCAGGCAGTTATTTGAAAAAATATATATTTATTTATTTTTATATATATATATGTATATATGTATATACACACACACACACACATAAATATATATAAAATGTGTAACTTTTTTTAGTAAAGGAAACTTAATGCTGCTTTTCTGCTTTTCAGATATAAGTTTGGGGATAGACTGGCATTTATTCACAAGGCCTTTACTATGTTTCCTAGGACTCTTTTACCAAAGAGAACTATGGACTATATAGCTAAAATATTAAAGGTGATATAAGATCTAATGTCTTACTACTTCCCTTAAAATAAATAATTACAACAGTTTTGGCAGAAAAGTTCTACACCAGGGTATTTAAATCACATAATAAGTCTTAATGGAACCTTTGTTTCCTACTTACATCAATGGTGCTACTTATGTGAATGGAAATTGGGATCCCTGTATAGATTCCAGAAAATCTGAATACACACACACTCATTTGTTTTTTCCACTCTGCTTCTGCTAATCCTTGGTATTCTACCATCCAAGGGAAGTCTTACTGTGTACCTGTGTAACTAGCCTATGTGTGTGTATGTTTGCAGTATCAGGCACATGTTTGTCATCTTGAGCAATTTTTATCTCTATCATGTTAAGTGTTCCCATTTCTTTCTACCTCTGCTCTTTTTGCCCTCATTACTGTTGCAGCGACTTCTCTGTCTTCCTCTTTACACTCATTTGACCTTCCTTCCTTCCTAAATCACTGCCATGACCCCACACTCTTTACCAGAATGTGGAACATTATACAGAGCCTATTGTTCCTTGAAGAAGCAGAGCCTGGTAGTTTGCCCTGCCCCTTGGCTGGATCCCACAGTCCTTTGCATATACTGTAGTTTTGTGGTAGCATTTATCATATTGCACTATATTTTTCATTTATATTTCCGTTTCCTTCTACTAACTTGGGAGTTCTTAAAGTGTAAAGACTGGGTCTTGAAATTGTCTGGGACAGTCTCAGCAGAGCTTTATTAAATATTGGGTGAAATTAATATTAAATGAACAAAACAGAGATCTTAGTAGGAAAGATACCAATAAATTGATTACAATCAAAAGAATAAAAATCCATCATTTTGGGAAAGCAGCCACCTTTTACTTATTTTATGTGAAGATGGCTACCATTTGTCTCATTTCCAATTCCATTAATGTATTATTTATATCATCTCATTTATTACTTGTTTATTATTATTTAGTAATATTTAAAAAGAATGGGAAGAATGGAGATATTAAGAAATGACCTTAATTTCATATATGTTTATTTTAAGAGATAAACAATAAATATAATTTTGTATATGTGGTTATCTACAAAAAACATGGTGAGAAAATTTGCCAACTTCTATTTGTTTAACAGTCTTCATTTCTGTCTACATTTCTTCCTTTTGGCTCTGGCATTGCTTACATAGTAATATGACATTCCTTAAATCTTCTCTTTCACAGTTTGAGGTCAAACATATAAAATTCTTTCCAAGAAAGAAGAAGAGAGTATATGCATGTCATGTTCAGTGCTCCTGTTATTCACTCATGGTTAAGATCTATAAATATAGTTATAGAGAATGTTACCAAAATTGTAGGCCTGGTCAAGTACTATCATAATTTTTACTTTTGCCACTTCAGAATTTTGTCAGTTTAGGAAGCAGCTCATATGTATTATTTAATGAAGCAAA